ATTGACATTTTTAAAGATATAAGCTCATCCCAAAATTACACTCATCGAGACCTTTCATTTGAGTACCCACATGCATTTTTTTATATATTTCTCATATATTTATATATATAATAAATATAAATATATAAAATATATAAAAAATTGATGTGGGTACTCAAATGAAAGGTCTCGATGAGTGTAACATCGAGATGAGCTTATATTTTTAAAAATGTCAATAGTTTTCAAGATACAAGGTCGTTTATTATAATTATGTATCTAAATTTCAATTTTTTATATTTTTATGTCAATTAACACGTTATATTAAACAAAAATTGATTTAGTAATTAATTATTATTATTATTATAGATAATAAAATAAAATTAATCGTTTTTTTTTCACAATTTTCCCGAATTAAAATTCGAGCGACTAAAAAAAAATCAATTACTTAAATTAATTAAAATTTCCCATAAGAAATAAACAATAAATTTCCGTAACACAAGTATTAAAAGCTCTCGACAACCCAGCCGTCTAATTATTTAAGTAAACTGACGCTGATATGCGTCCCGATAATGAAACAAAATTTTCCTTATTTAGAGCGGGCAAGTTACCATAAAAAGTTAAGTACAACGATATCTTCTAAACGCTTGCGGTAATACTCGTCTTCTCCGCCTTCACTGGCTTTCTCTTCACTGTTCCTTTACTTCTTCGGTCTTGCAATCTCAACTTTAGTTATATTTTTTCTTCCCGTTCCTCTTTTTACTTTACATTGTTCGGCGTTGAAGATGCTCCGCATGACGCCTCCACAGCCACAGGGTGATCTTACTCGTGCACGATCCTCACGAGTTGCCTGGGGTCATCTTTAACCATAGACCTCGTGGAGCCGCTCCAACATTCCCAAATCTCCGTCAAAACTTTGTTTAATTTTAATTAATCAATAAAAAGTAACAAATATACTTAAGCAATTTTATTTCAAGAAAAAAATAAGAAGACCTTCTTATATACTACATTTGTATTTTTATACATTTATACATACGGTGAATTTTCTTTATGGTAGACATAGACGGGGTAAAATACTAAAATACCCCGAGGCAGTTATTCTTGCTGGTTAAACTCCTCGGTCTTCTCAAAATGATTCACAGCCTGAGGTAATTTATATTCACTTGCGTGGGTGATCGCCGGCTCACTCTCCCTCTCTTTTTCAATACTTTACTACTATTATATACGTTAGGTCTTTTCCTTTTCCCTTTACTCTTTACTCTTTACTCTTTACTCTTTGCGGTCTTGCATTACATGCAGATGGATACAATATAGTTGGAAAAGGTTAAGCACACACCCAGTACACCCAGTTGGAGGTCGGGTCGCCCAAGCCCGATATAATACAAGTCCACCGAATCCAGGGTGAAAGAGAGAGGTAAGGGTACATTACATATGTATGTATTTATATTTATATTTATATTTATATTCCAGCATTTACATACATGTAAAGTAATATTCTTTGATACTAGACAATGTTTTCAATATTAAAATTTTATTTTACTTACCTATCGGTGGATTAATTTTGATAAACAAAGAATAAATATAGATCTTGTTTGGTTTACTTAATGTAATTATTTTTTTTATTCCAATATTTAGAAAATTTTACTTTTTTTTATAATCCTGCAATAAACAAGCATATGATTAATTTTGTCTAATGAAAACTTCATAAGTGCAATTTTAATTTTAGCGAAAAGTTGCAGGGATGGCCTTTAAGGTCAACCGTTTTACTAATTTTTTTTAATTCCTACTAGTTGCATTTTTTTATTGATTTTCTCTATAATAATTTATTAATAGTTATTTAATAATAAAAATTTGTTCATTAAAAAATCATAAAAATTGCTGTATAAAAATCAATTTTAATATTTGTAAGTAATTGGTTTTATTTTATTAACTATAACAGTATAAATAATTTATTTTTTTTATTTTTGCGTTAAAATTTATGAACAAAACTTGAAAATAAAAAAATCTATAAAAATTTTTTTTAATAGTCGTAAAATATACTTCTACTTGAAACAAATATTTTAATAATTTTTGATATAAAAAATTTTTATATTCTGACTTTGATATTGTCATGGAAAAATTACATTGTTACTTTTATAAAATAAATTATTGGATTTAAAGAATAAAATCAGTAAAAATGCGCGTTTAAAAATTAAAAAAATAAATTGTAATATTTAATAAAGATAGCTTCAAAAATTTTTTTTTAATCTCTAAAAATTGCATTTTTTGATTAATTTTCTCTATAATAATTTATTCATTAATAAATGCTCAAAATTGCTGTATATAAAAGTCAATTTTAATATTTGTAAGTAATTAGTTTTATTTAATTAAATGTAGCAATATTAATAATTTACTTTTTTTCTTTTTGTTTAAAAATTTATCAACAAAACTTGAAAATAAAAAAATCTTTATTGAAATTTTGTTGAAATAAAATTATTGGAAAAATATAATTCAACTTGAAACAAATATTTTAATAATTTTGAATATAAAAATTTTATTCCAGATGAAAGTGAAAATTCACTTGTAATTTTTCAGTGTCCTGTGTACCTAGATTTCGCGAAAAGTCGCGGCATCTACACACTGCCGACATGTAAAGAAGACAAGAATACTTCTACTTATATATTACTTGAGAGTACGCGGAGTAAAGGCGAAACATTTAAAATACCCCGGAGGGTTTTTGGTACTTGGCTCTCGTCTGTCTTTCTCTCTCTTGGAGAGTACCTATCATCTTTAAATCGAACTTGCCGGAGTCCGTGCTGGCTCTGGGGCATTTCTCTTTCCTTTCTCCCCAGTATTTTCATAATGCAGCCTTGCAAATAATTCCGATTAGATCACGTCAATTTTTATTTACATTTTTTCATAATCTTATTTTATTATTTTATTATATAGGTTTTTTTTTTATCTAGTCAATTGCAAGCCTTCCGGCGGTTATT